AAAGAGTCTGTTTTGAATATGATGGTGCGATGAAGGATAAAAAATCGAACATATCTATCATGACTGGATTGCAGTGTCCTGGACCACCATCTTATATTTAAATGTAATGTTAAATTTATGTTAACGTTAATTTTATCTACATATTATTGATTTTGAAGTTAATTTATGTTGTTTTTCCATTGTTTCTGGTTTGAATTAACCGAGCAAATTCTAGAGTTGTATCCCCGAAAAGTTAACTGAATATTGAACTAAGGGGGTTATAGAGATGCATCTCCTAATTAAAATTTTATGCATACGAAGATGCATTTCCGAATTAAATTTTAACATAGTAAGAGGATCTCAAAAATTTAGTCTAAGGTGTGTGTGAAAAAGATGCCTTCGGAGATGCATCTCTGAATGTTATGGATAGTTTTGACTTTTCACAGTAGTGTGAGAGCACATATAAGGGTGAAAAGTACAATTTCTTCGAATAAAAGTTCCTTTTGAGGATCTTAAAAGCTTTTGGCTTAAATGATATTTTTTGCAATTGGATTGAAAAACCAAATAGAAAATAGTCATGTTGATAATTTCATTCTTGTATGAGAATTTTACCTGACACCCATTTCATTGAACTTGGCACTTCACATTAGTAGTATTTTTTACTACAATATCCTCGTATTTTAAAAGTACAATTTTCACTATTTTAATTGTCATTTTTCAGTTTTGAAAAAAGTTTTGATTTCTACGCATTTTTTGAAGTTTTTATTAAATATTTACAAATAAGTATTTTTTTTCCGTTAAATTCATGCATTTATATCGATATTTTGAATTTATACCAAAATTTTCACGAAAAACATGCTTTTACTGGCATCTTTGAAAAATGTAGTGTTTTGCATACTTTTGCCAACATTTTTAAAATTGTCGATAAAAATGCATACATGCTATGACAATTTAAAAAATATTAGTAAAAAAACATGCACGATACCACATTTTTTCAAAATGACAGTAAATACATGGTCATGGTCGGATACTTTAAAATATATGGTAATTCTTTTTTTTGTAGTGAGGACTAAAAGAAGAGACCAACAACAGTTGGAGGTGATATGACTTCTTTCATATAACCTCGTGGGTTTGGTAAACTCATATTGTAAGATTTATATCAGATCATCTCAGATAACACACATTGTATCTTGGATCATCTCAGATAACACACATTGTATGTGGTGGACATGCGTAAATTTTATTAGTTTGTTTATTTTTTTGTTGTTTATGATAGAATTATTTGTATATTATTGACATTTTATCTTAACATTACATTACATGAAAATTTAATATTACAATTATTGCGATATTAACATAACTTAACACACATATTACTTAGCATAATATGACTTAAACAGTACTAAATAATTCAAGAAGTTTCAACATTTTGATAATATCGTCGACATATCTCACAATTTTCACATCCACCTTAATTGGACTCTTTGTTTTATATCGGTGATATGTGTTCCACATAACTTTTAAATCTTCATTTGTCTTCGGCTCAAATTTATTGAGCCTAATCTTTCCTTCATTATTAATCGATGATGAACTGTACTCGATTTTAACCAGTTTTCTATTGTCGATGTGGTGCAAGAGATTACCCTGTTTGAATTTCAGAACGCCAAGAGGAGTGTCCTCTATGAGCCTAAAACCAATTGGAGGTTTCACACTATTTAAGTACACAAATGCGAGATAGCAAAATTGAGACATTATGAGGTGTTTTTTTAACAACATGGTGCATATTTATACAATTTTTAAATCATTATGAACCACAAAAAATTGTTGGTGGAATCACATTTCTATAAAAGTGTTGGCTAAATATCAATCGTTCAAAACTATCACTACTGAATTTTTTATATTTTGTAAAGGTGTGAGAAAAAACCCAATATTCTAGGTTTTTTTTTAGAAACAGATAAATTTTGACACCAATCAGATTTTTTTTAAAATTCCAATAAAAATATACTGGATTCTTTGTATGACATACCAAATATTTTTACATTTTAGAAAAAAGATTTATGTGATTATTAAAAAAATATAGACTACTTTTTATATTAGAAAAATATGTAGGGTGTCAAGTATGACTTTTACCCTTCTATATAAGGGTGGAAATATGTTAGGTCAAAATAAGATTTGTTAAATTTGAGTCTGCTAAAAAATTCTAAATTTAAATCTGATCTGTAACCTATCATAAACGTATTTTTAGGTTTGAACATAACTTTTTTAAATGCCTGATTGACTTACTAACTTATTTAAAAACCTACTTCATTTGAATATTTTTAAATAAACAATTCAACTAATGTTAATTAAATAGACGAACAAATTAATATTAATGAAACTAAATGTTTATTTTCATTGACTCATTTAAAATTACTTAGTGACATATATTTTATGATATTGTTTATTTCAGATAATTTATCAAAATAATTTATAATATTGTTCATAAAAGTTTTTCAACTTATTTTCATAAATCTTTTACGATAATTAAGCTTTATTTTCATAATTTAATTTCAAATACAAAATACAATACTATAATAATAGTAAATTATTATTCATATTTATTTAAATATATAGTTTAAATAAACCAATTTGATAGGCATAAAAAGATTTTTTCCTAACATATGGCTTAACTTTTTTAACTAACTTATAAAATACCTAAGTCGTTTTTATTTAAAAAAAGTATGACATAATTTAGACCTATACAACTAGCCGTAGGTCTCTATTAATTGGTGTGACATATTCTCCCCTTTGCTCCTATGTTCATACTATGTTGATAACTTAATTATATTGAATCTCTTAGATTTTGTGAAGGGAAACCAACCAACATTCAAGCTATCATGAACCTTTTTAATAGATAAGCATAAATTTTATGTCAAGTGATAAGCCCTCTCAATTCTACAATTTTTGGAGGGTATTTCTTCAATCAAATACTAGCTTCCATTGCTGAACTTATCTGTTCCATCAAAAGAAAGCCTAAAACAACACACATGCAGCTCCAAATGATGCAAAGTCTCAGCATTCTAAGGCTCATTTGAATATTAGCTATATGCCTCCAGCTTCTTTCTTACACACGGTGACAATTTGGAAAAAAGATATATGTTCATAACCTATATGTTCCACATTCATACCATTCTGTCACAAACAGGTGCAAAGTGTGCATAGAAAACACAATCCCGCATATGTTTTCAGTTAGGCGGACCTATGAACCACTTACCGACTAAGTAAGAAGACTGGCTATTCTGTGCCAGACTACCCGCAAAATACTAAAAAATGTGCATCTTGGAATGACATACCAATACATAGAATGGATTGAAAATAACAAGTGGCATTCTTGCATTTTGTGTGTTTGAATTAAATTTGAGCATTTTTCAAGTAAGAATAGTCCAAATGATGGACCCGTTTCAAATACAAGTAGTAAGAAACCAAAGACATACCATTTTGTCTAGAAAAACATTGTTTTCAATGGTCTGCATATAAATGAAACTATCCCAGCCCAACTAAATGAGCAGGTGCAAGATGAAATCACCAAATCACAAAACCAAATCGCTAGAACCAAGTGAACAAGTATGTTTTGCGCACATTTAATAACACAATTAAAATACAAGAAATTTAAATGTTATATCAAATATAACTTATTTTACTGTCAATATCCTTCTGCCTTCATTTTTCAATTTTTAAACAAGAAAAAAATGGCAAACCAACCATCTCCAAATCAACAACCAGGACCCTGCTAACAATAGACATCAACAAACAAATGATGAAAAAGTTAGAAACGGAAAGAATGAGCACTAAATAAACTCTATTAAAAGCTAAAAGTATTGCACATTAACTGCAATATAGTCATGTTAATGATACATCAGTCATCCTAAAATTTGCTTGTAAACAAACAAACCTATATCTTTAAAATCGAGTATGGAAATCATAAGACATTTTTTAATTATTCATGAAAACATAAACATTAAAACTGAACATATGTACCATGTTAAACACGGGCTTAACCCCACCCACTTACCGTCAGTAAAGGGGACCGTCAATTTTTAAATCAATGTTCAAGGTTATGGTAAAATACAAAACATGAATGACAAACTATGAAGTTATTAAAATCGACTTCATTGATTTTTGAATCAAATTGATAAATCCACTACATTGGGAAAACTGAAAATACAAAAGTTCTAAATTGTTCTTAGTTCCCAATACTTATTCAAATTTTTGACCAGGCAGGTATCCAAACATGCTAAACAGAATGAAGTATATCTAACTTTTGCAGAGGCAGGTATCCAAACATGTTAAACAGAATGAAGTATATCTATCAACTACATAAACATTAAAAACATGGAGGTTATGTTTTTCAATCCAACAAATAAACTAAATAACTTCATACTGCACACACAAAAATCCAATTATGTGCACCAAAGAAAAAGGGGGTTTGAATGTGATAGCAATGGATGAGTGGAACCAAGCAAATATGATTAAGCTGCTGTGGAATTTAAGTAACAAAGAGGATAATCTTTGGAACAAATGAATCCATAACATGTGAAGAAGGATGATGATTTAATGAGTGTGCTCATAAATTCAACTTGTTCTTGGATACTTAAGAACATTCTCAAACAGAGGAACGTTCTGCAGGGTTTGCAAGTGTGGCAGAATGTAATGTTATGCAGACTAAAAAATTTAACGATTGGGGTTCTTAGAACAACATCAGTGACTGGTTTATGGCAAGTTGATGTTGTTGCTTGAGGTAGATACATGCATAACATAAAAAAATAATACCATTTACCGAAAGGACTTGTCAATTTAGATTCTAGATGCAAAATAAATATGCAGTAATGGAGAGATTGAGCTTTACCCCAAAAGACACCAAAATCAATTTCAAAATTGATTTACCCATAAGATTAACTCGATCCAATACAATCAAACACATCACAATAGATCGTAAATAAATAAAATTGCTATGGGAAAACGGAATGTAACCTGAATCTGAATCAGTGATGAGATTCAGCATGCTCTTTGTGAGCGAGATGGCGACGCTCGTTAGGAAGGGCGACGAGGTATGAGAATATCATACCACCGTAAAGGACATGGAGCAAAGGCTGAATTGAATCCGTCTCGATGTACTTCTCGCTGTAATTGTCCAAACCTCTCTTGACGGAATCCTTGAGGTAACCGAGGGAAAACATGGGTTTCACGTGTTTAGGGATCTCGGTTACCTTCTTTCCCTTGATTTCGTTGTAGAATCTCCTCAAGGCCATTGTTGATTGTTGGATTGATGATTCTCGACACAGCAAACCCTAGATTTCAATTTTCACGCTATATTTCTCAAAGGACAGGGCTGGTTAAATGGTTTTTAGGCTATTAATACTACCGTGGCAGACTTACAAGTTTTTTTTTTCTTCTAAATTTTTTTATATATTTGATATTTTAAATTAATAAAAAAAATTGTAAAATTAAAATTTAACTTTAAAAAACTATTTAATTGACATTTAGTTTTATTAAAAAAATCTAAAACTTTAGGTAAATCTAGGAAATTTATAAATTTTATAAAATAGTAAAACAAAAATTATTAGAAGTTGATATATTTTCATCACAAAATAATTATATCATTTGTAATCTTTATTATCCGTGTTATTCTCCAAAAATGCCGACTTTAAATGTAAGAGTTAATTTTACTGCCATGATTAATATGAGTTGACTCATGAACCTAACGAATCGAATTATATATAGTTCAAATTCAGCTGATTTAGTTAATAAATTTATTTTTTTTCTCATATTCAACTCATTTTATTCATGTAATAAGTTTAACAATTTAGAGGTTAATTAGAAATTAAAATCAAACTAATCAAAACTAGATTGGAGATTGAATCAAGATAGATTATAAGTTCGAGTTTAAAGGTTTAATCGAGGTTGGACTGAGATTTTACTGATAATACATACATACATTTTTTATAAAAAAAAAAAGGGAGAAGTTAAATAATCGTGGGTAACTCTAAAAAAAGTTTCTAAAAATAAAATAAGAATAAAAAAATAAGTTACATTAAAAATATGTTTTCTTTTTATATATTGTTAAGAGCGCCTAAAGCCCCGAAAGTTGTTGAGGTCATTTGGTATTCACCTGCTTTAGGTGGGTTAAGTGCAACATCGACGGTCAATTCGTTAATTCATCGGCTTTATGTGGAGGCCTTCTTCGTAATGAGTCTGGAGATTTTTTTATTGGCTTCTCTAACTTAGTGGAAAGTTCTTTTGCCTTTTAGTTCGAGCTTTCTGGTTTCATCATTAGCATCGATTTAGCAGTTAGGTCCAATTTTCAGAAAGTTTGGTAGGAAACAGATTCGAAGTTAGTTATTCTTTTGTCCCAATATCTCATCATAGTTTCTTGGACCTTAAAAGATAGGTGGTTGAATGCTCTAGTTTTTGTTAGGTAGATGGAGTTTCAGATTTCTCACATTTTTAGGGAGGAGAATCAGTGTGCCGACTTATTGGCCTCGAAGCCCTCCTCGGTCGAGCCCCGTGGCAAGTAGAACATTACCCTTCTCTTCCTGGTTTACTTGTTGAATTAGGATAAGATTTATTTTCCCAAGTTTAGATTTGTTGGTTTTTAAGTGAGTTTTGACCTAGTCCATCCATTTTGTTTTCTTCGCATCAATAATATTTTGTCTTTATAAAAAAATTGTTAAAGATAATTGTGGTATTTGGATCGAACACTAGTTTCGACAAGGGTAACTTCATGGTTCGACAGGAGTTATGCATATTGTAGTCAAAGTCTGTTCAAGCAATGTTGTCAAAATATGTTAGCTTTGTGTTTAAGTTAGCATGTCGAATTGGGCCTTGCTTGTAAGCCCAATTGTTAAGTTAGCTTGTAGCCTAAGTTAGCTTAGTAGTATATAAATAGACTAGTTCTCTCAGGTTGTTGAGAGAGGTTAATTGTTGTTATTCACTTGTAATCTTTGAACCCTTATTAAGTAGGTGAATATTAAAATCGTTTTAACCAATTATTATTCTTCTCCCTTTTTCTATCTCTTTGTAAAACCTAATCGGGTTTCTTGTATTTGTTCAATAAACTCATTCTTTATCTCATAACTTTTTTCTGTTATTGACGACATCATTTCACAACAAACTAGTGCATTGAGCTTGAAGGAGAAGATGTCGTCAACAAAGTATGAGATTGAGAAATTCACCAGTGTGAATGATTTCAGTTTGCGGAGCTTGAAGATGAAAGCCCTACCAGTTCAGTATGGTTTGTTAGAAGAGTTGAAAGGATCGGAGAACATGGACGATGCCCTATTAGTGAAGGAGAAGTCAACAGTGGTTGAAAAAACCCACAGTGCCATTATATTAAGCCTTGGTGATAAGGTTCTCTGGCAGGTTTCAAAGAAGAAAACTGCAGCTGGTGTGTGGATAAAACTTGAAGGTTTGTACATGACAAAATCATTGGTTAATCGTCTCTACCTAAAGCAAGCTTTGTATTCATTCAATATAAGTGAAGACGAAACTTTGATTCTTGATTTTAATAATATCAAGGTCAAGACTGATGATGAAGATCAAGCGTTAGTGATTTGTATTTTTTACCTAAGTCTCATGTTCATTTCAAAAAAACTCTCTTGTATGGAAGAGATTCATTGACCTTTAAAGATGTTCAATCTACCTTATACTCTAAGGATTTGAACGAACGAAAGGAGCACAAACCAGCAACAGCTGGTGAAGGTTTATCTATTATGGGGAATTCTTGAAGAAAGATGCTAGGTTTGAGAAAAAAGAAAGGTAAAGTTCTATAGAATTCTTATGGCGGTAATGCTTATACTATTAAATGTTATCATTGTAAGAAGAAGGGTCATACAAGAAAAGTATGCCCTAATTGACTAAATAATCATGATGGAAAGGATAATGGTATTGCAACCATTATGCAAGATGGTTATGAATCATCTGATGTCCTGGTGGTTTTAAGCAGCAACTCTATCAAGGATTGGATTATGGGTTCAGGGTGTACTTGGCACATGACTCCAAAAAAAGACTTGTTTGAGATACTGTGTGATTAAGATGGTGGATCAGTGTTGTTGGGAAACAACAAAGCTTATAAAATTACAGGTATTGGATCTGTGAGATTCAAGCTCCATGATGAGTCAATAAGGTTATTGAATGATGATAGCTATGTACCTGATCTTAAGAGAAATTTAATTTCTTTTGGTGAATTCCACAAGAACAAATATGTTTTCAAAAGAGAGCAATGTATCCTAAGGGTGACGAATGGGTCGAAGGAAGTCTTGAGAGACATGAAGAAACAAGGTTTGTATACCTTTAAGGTTGAGGTTATAAGTGGTTCAGCTGATGTGGCATCCATGAAACCTGTGTCGGAGATTGAACTATGACATGAGAGACTTGGCCATGTCAGTGAAAGAGGCATGGTCGATTTTTCGAAACAAAATCTACTATGTGGTGACAAGGTCGAAAAACTGGAGTTTTGTGAACCTTGTGTATTTGGTAAATCCTATAGAATTAATTTTAACAAAGGTAAACAAAGAACACATGGATCCCTTAATTACTTTCATGTTGATCTTTGGTGGCCTACGAGAAATCTTTCACACTCAGGTGCAAAGTATTTTCTATCCATAGTTGATGATTATTCCAGAAAGTTATGGGTATTCATCTAGAAGACTAAGGATGAAATTTTTGAAAATTTCAAAAGTTGGAAGACTTTGGTCAAAAACCAAACTGGCAGGAAGGTCAAGAGGTTGGGGACTAAAAATGGTCTTGAATTTCACAATGATGCTTTTAATAGTTATTATGTTACGTTTGGTATTGCAAAGCGCATAACCACTGTAGGTACTCCCCAAGAAAATGGTTTGGTTGAAAGGTTTAATCGAACCATTTTGGAACGAGTGAGGTGCATGTTAGTTAGTGTAGGATTGAATAAGGTGTTTCGGGTTGAGCCAATCATGATTGCAGCTTACCGGATAAATAGGTGTCCCTCGACAGCTTTAGGGATGAAAAAACCTGAAGAAGTCTGGTCGAAACATCCACCTAATCTCGACAGAATTAGAGTATTTGGCTGCTTAGCCTATGCTCACATTAGGCAAGACAAGGTCGAACATAGAGCTTTGAGGTGTGTGTTCCTTGGGTACTCTGAAGGAGTCAAAGCTTATAAGTTATGGTGTCTAGAGTTAGGTTACAAGATGTGTATCATAAGTCGAGATGTAGTTTTCAATGAAGTTAAGACGAATTTTAAAAAAATTGATGATGTTGGTCGAAGTACCAAGATATCTGAAGAGGAGCTGGAACAGGAAAAGATTCATGTTAAGGTAGAGCATGGTGATGCTGAATTGCATAATCCAGATGAATTTGAAGAAGAAACACAAGGTGATGATGAAGATGATGAGATTTATAATGACTACCTACTGGAAAGAGATAGGTTGAAAAGAGTCATCAAGTCACCTCAGAGACTTGGTTATGCAGATCTTGTAGCATCTTCCTTGATCTCTTCAAGTGAGGTTCTTTATGAAGAACCTAAAGATTACTAGGAAGTTGTGAGGAGTTGAAACAAGACTGAATGGCTAAAAGCCACGGATGATGAGATAAAATCTCTTCATGATAATAACACTTAGAGTTGATTGAGAAACCTGCAGAGGCCAAGTTAGTCAGTTGTAAGTGGATTTTCAAGGTTAAGGAAGAAATCAAATGAGTGATATCAAAGAGATTTAAGGCAGAGTTGGTTATTAGTGGGTTCACTCAGAAAGAAGGTGTCAACTTTAATGATGTGTTCTCATTTGTTGTAAAATATAGATCCGTTAGAATGTTGTTAACCATGGTGGCAACTTTCGACCTAAAACTTAAACAAATGGATGTGAAGACAATCTTTCTGTATGGTGATTTAGATTAAAGAATCCTAATGACACAACCTGAAGGGTATGCAAAAAAAGGAAAGGAAAATTATGTGTTAAAGCTGAACAGGTCTTTGTATGGTCTGAAACAATCTCCTCGACAATGAGATAGGAGATTCAACAAGTTCATGGCACACATAAGTTTCACTAGGAGCCAGTTTGACCATTGTGTTTACTTCAAATTTTGACATGGAAATTCACTTTCTATTTTGTTACTTTATATGAATGACATCCTCATAGCAAGAAACAGTGTTGGAGATGTTATGAAGGTAAAGGTTAAACTCGATAAAGAGTTTGAAATGAAGTATTTGGTAGCTACCTCCAGAATTCTTGAGATTGATATTCGGAGAGATAGAAAGCAGTCGGGATTATGCTTATCT